ATGGCGATTTACAATATCTCAATATTTTTAAGATAAATGGCGATATACAATATCTCAATATTTTTAAGATAAATGGCAATATACGATATCTCAGTATTTTTCAGATAAATGGTGATATACGATATCTTGATATATTTTTCTTTCCATAAAGTACCGGTAATAACAAAAATATATTTCTGAGTCAAAGCTTTGTCCCAGTTGTCAAGCACAGTTATTAACAAACATATGCAACAGTACAAAATAAATGTGTAAAAAATAAATAATTTACATATATTAAATAATTATCCTCTTCAGCGGTGCCACTTTCACGACATGAGTAAGCGTGTGTGAAGCAGCAGGTGAGGGGCTGTGTTTGTATTCAGTGAGGGAGGAGGAGGGGCCACGTGAAGTTGGCGGTGCAGACTGGCAGAAAAAGAACTACATACACAGATTTACTCGAAGGTTGCGATAGAGCCATTTAAAACATGGTAAATTGAAAAACTTGCGATACATCGAGTATATTCGATACATAGAGTATATTTGATACATCGCCCAGCCCTCCTTCATTTTTTAAAGTTTAAATGGATCACAGAAAGTTGGACTTCACACGTCTGAACTGACATTTTGAGATCTTATATAGTTTTCATATACAAATTAAGTTTTATGGTTTTAAGTTTGGCGGCACGGTGGCGCTGCTGCCTCTCAGTGAGGTCGCCAGTTCAAATCCCAGCCCGGGATCTTGCTGGATGGAGTTTGCATGTTCTCTCCGTGCATGTGTGGGTTTCCTCCCAGACCAAAAACATGCATGTTTGGCTGATTGGTAACTTTAAATTGTCTCCAAGTGAGAGTGAATGTTGTCTCTGTCCCTGTGATGGACTTGGACCTGTCCAGGATGTCCCCTGCCTTTTGCACAGTGATAGCTGGGTATGGGCACCAGTGACCCCCACGACCCGAATATATATATATATATATATATATATACATTATGAACCATGAGTGGTGAGAGTGTTTTGTCTGGACAGAGTGGAGCTGCAGAAGCGTGGAGCCTTTCACCTCATAAACTCAAGGCCTAATCTGGTAGGCAGCGCCTCTGATAACGTGATAAAATGACACTTTTTTTATGCGCTCTGTGAACAGACTTGGAGACGAAGCGCCATGTAAACATCTTGCCTGCTTGTACTTCAACTCTGTTCCATCTTGCAAGATTAAATTGGGATAAGAAAATTATCTACTCATTCCTGTTTTTTTATGAGCTATTGAAAGGACAATATTAAATTATCCTAGCATTTTTACCGATCATTTATCCTACATACCCTGTTGAACAAGGAAAATGTACATGCCCATCAGTCTTCTGATGTTCACAGTTCTGAGTAGGGGTGTACCGATAAATCGGTCGGTTGATTTATCGACCCCCGATTTCCTTAATTTTTGGGTGATTGGCGATCAGCTGATACTTACAAAAGAAACCAAATTTTTTGTAGTTTTAACAATTTTCTAAACTTCATATTTCAGAGCACTACCTCAAGTTTTGTATTGTTTCTAGGATACTGTTCAAGGGTATGTTTTCCAATAAAATAATATTGGCAAATTGAAGGTGCATTTTGACCTTATAACACCTGACAGTGTCGCTTATAAAACAAAATCAGAATCGGCAGATCAGCCTTTTTAGAGATCGATGCACTAGTTCTAAGAACTTTAAAGATCTTAGTTTTTGCACAGACTGCATGAAGCTTACTTTTCAGTCTGCATTTTTATCTGCCTCTCATTAACTTTGCAGTCAGGGAGTAAGACATGGATGTGTGGTTACCTTGGTGACCGTAGCCACTAGCAGCATTTAACATTTCAGTCTTCAGAAATAAACAATTTTATTTACCAGTTATGTGAGGTTGCTTTAAATGCACATTATACTGTACTTGCCACCGTGTAAGTCGCATCAGCCCAAAAATGTCTAAGAAAGTGGAAAATAACATACCGTAAATAAATAATAATAATGGTTGCTTCACTGTATAAGTCACATATATTATGCAGCACCGCTGACCACCTGGAAACATGGGTTGGTGTTGTGCCAAAAATCGATTGGCTGCCAAATGGCAACCGCAGGGGCGTGCACGAGAGGACTTTGACAAGAATTTAACAATAACCACCTAAAAACAATTATTTGTTTGCTCCAAATTATAGTAAAGGTGTGTCTCAGTTGAACTTTTGTTTAATAAATGCACTTTAATGGTCAAACCAGCTGCATTTCACCTGGGCGGTGCGGCAAAATGCAGCTGGTTTGACGTTTGCTCCAGGATTATTGAGCATGCATCAGGATATTTGCTCCAGGTGTTCCAGAGGGAGAAGAAGGTGGCACTGTATGGCAAGCCAAGTGTCTCATTAACAGCCACTTTTACCTATTAATGAGACAATTGGCTTTCCATAGGGCAAAAGGGCCCTCTAGCGGATGGAAATGGTAGTGTTCAATATTGTCCATGTCAAAATAAATGAAATAGTCAATCTCAGCCAAAAATTGAGTTATAAATATGAGGGGGGAAAACATATATTAGTCGCTTCGGTGTATAAGTCGCAGGGCGTGCAAATTTATGCCAAAAGGTGCGACTTATATGGTGAAAAATACAGTAATTACTTGACATTATATTTGTAACCTGTCTGTATATGAAGTCATTTCTCCAACTCTTAAATGCAGACAACCATAATTTGCCATTTTTTAACCCATTGCAGTTAAATCAGCACAGGAAAAGATCAGTTTGTTGAATGACGAAATGGTCCTGTGGCGAATAAATAAATACAACTGGAACATGCTTTGTGTCAGTTGTTTTAATGGGCGTCACATAAAGGACAAAAGATCCCGCTGTGAGAATCCTCAATCTTATGCGGATACCTGATAAACCCACTCATATCAAGCAACTACACCACCATCAAACGCTGACATTTTGTCAGCTGGAATTGAACACAGTGTCAAAAGGGTTGTTCACAAGTTCGGCGTCAGTTCAAACAGAAGAACGGTAACGAGAGTCGCAAGCTTCATCCCCGTCTACAAAACATTTCAGTCTTATGTAAAATCACAAGTTGATGTGTAGGGCCAGAGTCTATGAGTGGGGGGTGGGTTTACCAGCGATAGTCTTTCTGTGGTTTACCTGAGCTTGAATTGATGGCTGCGTCTACCTGTCAGTGTCGTAAAACCTGCAGCAACAGGTTAGCAAGCGTACAGCACTACCTGCTAGAGGGTTTTCTAAGACGCTTCCTATACCGAACGGTTCATTCGTAAAAAATACACCTGAATTCTCTTTTTGTACAACAGAAAAGGAACATGTTCACCTGCATATTCAAGATTGGTTTTAATATTAGACTTTCTGTATAAGAAATATTACTATTTTATGAAATGAGGCTCTTTGAACTAACATAATGATGATCATTTCACCCATAAATCGTCAAACTATTTACATATAGTACAGTACCAATTTAATCTGAAACTATATTAAAATAAATGTTCAGTAGATACAAATGTTTTTTGTCTTTTCTCAACTTTTGACGTCTCAACACACTCAAACCGTAAAGCCATTCTCTTTTAATAAACTTTTAAGTGCAAATAATGTTTTCAAATATATATATATATATATATATATATATATATATATATATATATATAT